CGGGGCAGACAGGGAGAGGGGCCGGCCGCGGGCCGAGCGCGCTTCACCGGAGCTGGCGGGTTTCTCGGTCCCCACAGCGGTCCCGTCCCCAGAGCTGCGTGGTTCTGGCTGTTCTCGGGCTTCCCGGAAAATGGCGTGGTCAGAGAGAAAACTTAGAGATTCTGTTGTTTCCTATTGCTATAAAATCACAGAATCAGAGAAGGGTTTGGGTTGCAAGGGCCTTTGAAAACCATCTGGTTCCAACCCCCTGCCATGGACACTTTCCACTAGACCAGGTTGCTTAAAGCCTTATACAACCTAGTCTTGAACACTTCCAGGGATGGGTCATCCACAAATTCTCTGGGCAATCTGTTCCATTGCGCCCTCTCCCCCAGTAAAAAAAATTAATTTCAACAATGAAAGTTTTAGTATCTAATCTAAACCCACTCTCGATTTAAATCTGTTACCTCTTGTCCTATCGCTATCACACGGGCCTTTGTAAAAAGTCCCTCTCCAGCTCTCCTGTAGGCTGTCTTTAGGTGCTGGAAGGTGCTGTAGGGTCTCCCCAGAGCCATAATGCTCATTTTTCAAGGGTGAAAAAAAGTGCTCCCCCACTGCTCGCTAAGAAGAAAAGGCCAGGAAATTCAGGTGTGAAACAGGTGTCTTATGGCATAGTGGGTCACTACATTTCCCTGGGTATTACGGGAGGTCTGTCTCTTGACAAAATGCAGCATAAACTCCAGTTTGGGATCTGTTTATCCTGAAAGGCTGTCTCTTTGTATGCCGATCTTACTGGTGTAGATTACATTCTGGGGGGCCTTTTTTCCCCCCTGAGTTCTGTTATATCTGTTATAGCTGTACATTATCTTTTCTTGTAGGAGCAACTGGTCATGGTCGAGCTATCAGGAATTATTGATTCAGACTTCTTAGAAAAATGTGAAAACAAGTGCAAGATTTTGGTGAGTGATTACAGCACGATAGGAAAGGGGTAAGTTATTACTGATGTGAACAAGGGAGAGGCTGCTTCTAAATTTCTTGACATTGATAAGATTAGATCAAAGCTTTGATAGAGAATTATGTGTAATGTACTTGGCTGCATGTTGTGGGCTCCCTTTCGGAAACAGCGTAAAATTTTTGAATATATTATTGCGTAAATATATGGAAACTTTTTCAGAAGTATATATAAGCTTGGACAAGTATTTCCTCTGATTTCAAATTCTTAGTTAGTTTTTTTTAAAATTATGTATTTCACACATTTAAAAAAATTGTTAATCACACTTCTTCAAATAACTGGAATACAGCAGACAGGTAAAGCAAAATATTTAAGATGGACACTGTATTTACTATGGGGCTTTTTGCAGATGTATCCTGGCAAGTTCAAGTCTTGTAAAGGATAACTGGGTATTAAACATTTGGTAAGCAATTTTGGATATTGTTTGCATCACCATGAGGTTATTGTAGGACTCTAGTTTCCCCTCTCCCATTCCTTTGAGGTTTTTAATCACTCTGTCTGTAAAGGACAGATTTTATTTGCCCTTCAAAACCTATGTAGACTATGAGAGCTGTATAGATAGTACAAGTACTGCTGATTTGCAAATACTTTCTGGAAGTAGACCTTTATTATAGGCTGAAAAGATGGAAAAGAACATCTGAGTGTGCCACTGATCACAATATATATGAGTGGTAAAGTAAATTCTGAATGAACCAGAAGAAGAAATACAATCAAAATTAATAAAATATTCGTCTTTGTATGGACATGTGTTTATAAGCTGGTTTCCTTCCTTGATCTGATCTAATTCTCTTGAAATTTGTTATATGTATCATTCATACTGATGGCTGAATGTCTATAGATGCTGCAGTACTGCTGGCGGGGTGATTTCAAATGTGCTTTGAGATGCCCTTGTAATGCTACTAGTAAAAGGTTAAAGTGTCCATACTGTGTCCTAATTGTATCCACGTCTGCTCGAGTTTATTCCATGGAGCATTCTTGAGGCTTTTCGTAAGGGACAACTGTTGCTAATACTAATTAGAGTGTCTGCTCTGTGTTACTATTTAGCAAATTTATGCTGGTAACATAAGGGGAAGACAGTCTCCAAGTCTGTGTAGTTCACAAAGGAATGCAAATCAGCCAAAGAAGTAATTTTTTTAATGTAAAATCCTTATCATGCTATTGCTTAGTACTGATGTGTTATTATTTTACTTTTTGTAGGGGAAAAAAATCCCATCAAAATATGTTCTATATGTTAGCTTAATGTTATTGGTGTTCTCAATTTATGCAGAAGAAAGATAATCCCAGACCTTAAGTCTTGTTGATCTTGTACTTTTGAAACACAGAAATATCCAAGAGGAAAATTGCACAAATTCATATTAACATGTGTGTTGTTCTGTATTTTATGAAATTTACCATATAATGCCTTATCTTCAAAACTTTTAGTATGTGCTTGTCTTCATGCTTGAAAAATTCTGATGTTCACAAGGTACTATTCAAAGTCATTTTGCCTTAATTAGTGTGTTCTGTTCAGACATTGATTTTTATCAAAATACAGTATATAGGTATATCTTATATAAGAAAAATTGGATGCTGGCTTGTGTATTTGGAAAACCTGTGCTCTAGAGGAAGGGAATGAACCGATAGAAGTACTTCCTTACTCTTCCACTCATTGTTTAAAAAAATAAAATAGCAACGATTTCCAGCTCCTTCACATTATAGACACACGGTAATCACAGAAGCTTCCATGACCCTGCAGTGGCACTTTGGGTGCTGATGTAATGCTGGACTTCTTCATGTTTTCCAGTTTGAAAGTTATTCCACTTTCTAGAACTTGTATTAATTGAAGCTTAGAAGATGACATCATCTTCAGGCAAACACATTTTTTTTCATTTGAAATGGAGGTTACATTAATTTCCTAAAGGAAATAACAGCACTTTAACTTATATAGAGTGTTGGTTTCAGTTGAATCTAAATTTATTATAATATAGTAGAGCATTTTCTATACAGTTCTATACTAGGTTTTATTATGATAACTAAAAGAATATTGTCTGGTATTTTTTTGTATTTAATATACTTAAAGGAACATGTATGATGAGGAATTGATATACTCTGGATTCTGCTATGTCTGTCTTTGCTGGTCTTACAGTGAGAAAATCACCTGGGCAAATAAAGTCCTGACATTATGCAATTTTATCCTTCTTTACATAGGGAATAGAGACAGAGAGGCCCATTTTACAAGTGGACAGATATGTATTTGCAGGAGAATATGAAGGTAGGAAAACTTACATGAATACAATCTCTCCCTTTCCACATGACCCGAGGAATTTTCTTACTATTAGGTGGTTTTCCTGCAATTGGTCCTGTGAGAGGCTGAAGTTGTGGGTGGTTGTATAACACCATGTAGAGCAGCAGCAGTCTGAGTTCACTGCTGAATTAATAATGCATCCATGGTACTTTCCAGGTAAGTACGTCTGGAAGCTGACTCTGTGGTGTACCAGCTAGTATTACTGCAGACAGAACTGTGGGATATAAAATGCCTTAAAGTTCTGTTGTCTCCTGTGTGAGCAGGACTGACATGTTGTGCAATCTGTAGTTATCTCATTTTCCCTGTGGTGACAACACTGGTCTGGAAGAAAATGATCTGGGATCCTCCCTTGTAGTGACTTCCAATGACTGTGATACTCCTGCCTGTTCCTGAGTTCTTTACCAGTGCTGCACCTCTCTGAGGGGCTGGAAGTCAGAACATTCCCACAGCTGGGCCTGTGGGCACATTATCTGCAGCTGATATAAATAAGTCTCTAAAATTTTCTCACTTTCTTTTTCATAGATACCTTGGGAACCTGTGTGGTTTTTGAAGAAAACACAGAGCAAGGTAATCGTTGTGATTTGATTTTGTTTCAGTAGCTGGGGAGGTTAAAAATGTTTATCTTGTTTCAGTTTCTAGTGGAATTCACTACAAAAATTGGGGTTTGGGTATTGTTTTCTCTCGTCTCTTCTTAGTAGATGCAGAAGGCAACCAAAAAGTACAGCTGAAATACAAGTGCCACACAGTGAAGAAGTTGAACATGACACGGACCCTTCTGTCAGAAAAGAAGGAAGGAGAAGAGAATGTTGGTGAGTGATTCTACTCTTATATGTGTGGACATGAGTGGATTATGCTTGGGAGCATCAGCCTTTATCAAGTGTTTGATTCAAGAGCATGCAGGAAGTTAAAGGAACTTTCTTCTGTAGGCACCATATCATATGTTTAAATTAAAAAATTAAATACATTTCTGACCAGCGCTGCCTCCAGAAATGACTAGTAGGAGATCACTATAAGGAAGAGTAAGAGCAGGGCAAACATATGCTGATGCTCCCTGGTATGTCCTTCTTTCATCTAAAAGTTTTATAATCAGAGGTGCTGTTGAGTTAGTTCTTAGTTGATTTTTTTTTTTCCCTGCCTCCATCATTTTTTCTAATGACTTTCTGAGTCTCTGTAATTGTTGAAAAGAACTGAATTGTACTTACTGAATTTACAGCTGAATGGAAGTGAATTTAAATTACTTGCAAAGACATACCTAGAGACCATTTATAAAGATTTTCATTCTGTAGGCAGAAGTCAGGGTTCATATGTTTGCTTTATTTTTTTTTTTGTACCAAAGTCAGTACTTTTACATAGTCAAACACTGAGTATCCTACTATATATAGCAGTATTCATTAGAGCTCTCCTACTGCTTTTACCTGCTTTTTTTCACTCAAGCCAGTGTTACTACTTCATATTTTAAGAATATTATAGCCATTTTACCTTAAATATGTGCAGTCAGATGGACACTGGCCATAGGAGGTATAAAATGAGATGTTATCTAGAATCTTACCAAACATCAGCTTTCTTATCAACACCATGTACCACTTCAGTCTATAGAATTAATTGTTTAATATTAAACTGAAACTATTATTGTGATAGTACAGGTAATATTAAATTGAGACTAGAGAGTATTTTTCTTAATACAAAGGCCTTTTTTATTCTGGAGCACCAATTCTGATGATAAGTACTGAAAAAACACTTTGTTTCTGTACTGTGACAGGAATTTAACTTGTGCATACAAAGTAACTACAACATCTTGTGAAGTGACAACATGTCCTGCGTAAAAAGCAAAATGGGAGTGGAATCCCATTTCTATTTGGGGCTGGTTTCAACCTGTTGTTCCAACTTGTTGTTACACCCGTGTTAAAGAGAGTGCAAGAACTTGTGTCCTATTTCTGTTGTCATTACCTATTGCCAGAAGGTCTATTATTTAGGTGAACATATATTCAATTCTCTTCATTGCATTTGTGAAATATTTTCTCTGCATTTTGATTCAAGTGATTTTAAGAGCCTAGGGGTGGCATCAGACACATAAATACAACAGGAACTGCCCTACTGGATGGGAGGAAAGATCTTTTTAGTTCTGTGTGGTATTTTCTGACTATGAAAAGTAATAAAAGGGTATGTGAAAAGTAATAGGAGGGGCATGCACATCTTTGTTTGCAGTGGTTCTTTTACTTAGATCTTGGTCAGCCTCAGCCTTAATAAAAGTGAACTTAAACTAAGAAAAAAAACTGCTGATAACTGTTTTTGTCACTAATAGAATTTTCCTTCTTTACATCAGGTGGAGTAGAGTGGTTGCAGATCAAGGACAGAGATTTTTCCTACAGCAGGCCTAATATGATTTGCAGTTTTCTGCCTGAAAAGGATGATTCTGAGGAGTCAGTTCAGGCCCAAGATAAATTGACTGAAGAGTCAGAGGGAGAGGTGAGCGGCAAAGGAAATTCTAACATGAGCTGTGACCTGGAAAAGCAGCAAACCTTGGAAATAGATGCCCCTAATCCTCTGCCTGACAGCTCTACTGCTGGGGCAGAGGAAACTCCTTCTGGAGATGCTGCCTTAGAGGAGAATGTACCTCCATGATATTAACTTTGATATTTTCAGGATTTCTTCATGGAATTAATGGGCCAACTTTTATAAGCTGTGACATGGTTTCCACCTTATCTGAGAAATAAATAGTGTAAAAACAGACATGATGTTTTTGTGCATTGCTTTTGTGTTTGAATTATAGTGAGAAGGGCTTAAGTGTTTTTTAAAATTACTGACTGGAAATGAATATATCCCTACCTCAAAACTGAACAAATGGAAATGGTTACATAATTAAAAGAAAGTCCTACCTTTAAAAAATGTTGCTGTATTGTACAGTCTGAAACATTTTGTAAAAATAAAGAAATTTCACTGTTTAAAATAAAGTCCTGAAATTTTCAAGTATACCTTCACCTTGTGTGTCATATTCAGCTGCATACTCTATCTGTTCTTGTGCTGCAGTTATTGAAAGAAAACAAATCAAATAAGTGTGGCTTTTAATGACTGAATACTCATCAAATTGCTTAATTTAGATTCTTTCTAGTGTCCTTTGTCTCCTTGATAGAGTTTAGAAATCTTTCATGTTGGAAGAGACTTTAAGAGGTCTCTCATCTAGCTTCCTATGTAAAATAGGATCAACACTAAAATTCAGGGCAAGTTCGTCAGGGCTTTGTCCACTCAAGTCTTGAAAACCCCTGCAAACTTGTCAGCAAATGAAATCCAGGTCTTAAAGAGGCATCTGTCATGCTGCTTCTCCCATTTTCTCTATAATATAATGCATGTTATACGAAAGGAAGTGTGGTCACTCTGTTTTTCCTCACAGTAACTTCTTGGCTCTAATCTTTCTCTCTGGCCTTTTTCTGAAGAGTTTTATAGTTTTATACTTAAGAGCCTGTACCCATATGCATCAGTGGTTCCCAGATTAGTCCATGTTACCATACTGTGGTGCGTAGCTAGTCTGTGGGTTGATAGTGCTACATGATTCATACTGCCACACACTGTTCTATATCACATTTGAATGTGTGGTGCACTTGGGTTAATGTTTTCAAAAGCACAACAATTTTAAAACATAAAACATTTTCTCCCTGACCATTCTTTCCTACCTTTCTGTGCCTCCCTCAAAACAGTGTAACTGCAACAGTGCTATGAGGATGGGAACACCTAATTAATTCCAGCATAATTATGTAATACTTTAATTAGTAATGATCAGAGGAGAAGCCCACCCACAGCGTGGTTCGCAGCACAGCATCAATAAAGAGAAGTCATTAAAATGGCAACAGTTTTGAACCACCAATCCCATTATTTTTTTTTTATTTTTTTTTTACCACCAATCCCATTATTTTTTTTTTATTTTTTTTTTTCAAGTAGAAGCGACTTGAATCCTAGGGAAAAGGGAAGCAGGGAGAGGAAGAAAAGAGATGTCCTGTGTGCCTCCAGCCTGGGTGTGGATCTTTCACATGGTAGTGTTGCATTTGAGGTTTCAGGGAGACCGCACAGCCATCCGTCTGGATTTAACTGCAACGATGGAAGTTTAAAAACATCATCATTCACACTTGATTTGTGTTGTGCTGCTGAGGACAATTGAATACGCAGGCTCTTGAGTGCCGGAGGAAGGGTTGGCGGCGCGCTTGGTGGCAGCTGAGCCTCCTGCAGAGAGGGCTCTCGCTGCGGCTGCTTCAGCCACTGAGAGCAGAGAGCTGCTTCAAGAGTCTGTTCTCTGACAGGATGCAGACACAAAAACTCTTCCATGTTTAGTTAGCTGGTTGCTTAGTCTGGCACTATGTATGTGAGGTATGTTCCGTACGTACGAAGAGTATTCCAACAGTATCGGTTTCTGGCCTTCTCAGCCTTTTTCCTTCAGTGCTACACTGAAACTGCTTCTTTGTTCTAGTTCATCTGGTAATCAGTAGGATCATTTGAAAACATTTTATGTATATCGTACACGATGAGTACCTGAATAATATTAGGATTTTTAATATTTTAAATGCTATTTCTAATGGTCGAGCTTTTGTTTCAATTATTATTAACCCTAGACTTTGCAACCATACAACCTCTGGGTGAAGAACCTTTTCCTGATATCCAACCCCCCCCTGACACAACTTCAGGCCATTCCTGGCACTGTTCCCCAAAGAGATCGGCGTCTGTCCCTCCTCATCCCCTCAGGAGGAAGTCGCAGGTTGCAATGATGTCTCCCCTCAGCCTTCTCTGCTCCAGGCGGAGCAGCCCAAGCGCCCTCAGCCCGACCCTCGGCCGCGGGGGACTCTGAGCGGAGCCGGCAGAGCGCCCGCGCATGCGCCGCGCCCCGCCCCGCGCTCCCGGCGGATGTGACGCGGCCGGCGGCTCCCGCACATCCTCCCGCACGTGAGGGCAGCGATGGACGCGCTGGACCGCGTCGTGTGAGTGTGCGGGGGGACCCCGCGCTGGGAAACGTGAGCGGGAGGCTGCAGTGGGGGAGCCAGCAGAGAGAAAAGCCTGATGGGAAACGTGCGGGAAAGAGGAAACTGAGCGCTGCCGTCTTTTTAATGGTGGCCAAACAGCCCTTACTCAGTTGGTAGCTTAAAAGAACCGCGGTGAACAGCTGGTGTTGAATTTGTGTGTTTCCATACAACTGAGAGAATTCTTTTAATTTCTGAAGTTTCAGTGATGCCCAGCAACAGCGTGGGGAGCAATTGCCATAAACTAAAAGACAAGAAACCTCACCACAGCATGAGGAGGAACTTATTTAAATGAAGGGTGGCTGGGCACTGGAACAGTCTGACCAGGGAGATCCTGGAGTGTCCCTCTCTGGAGACAGTCCAAACCCACCTGGACACTTTCCTGTGTCACCTGCTCCAGGTGACCCTGCCTTGGCAGAGGGGTTGGACTCTATGATCTCCAGAGATCCCTTCCACCCCTGACGATACTGTAATACCGCTGTGTGGGGGCGGGGGATATTGTTTGTTATAAAGAGGACAATAAAATTAATGCTTTACTGAGAAGAGTATCCAGTGGAGAACTGTAATTCCTAAGCCATGTAGCCACTGACATGAATAAGGTCCCTGCAAAGGCTGCAGTATTTCACCTGGATAATGCCCAGCGTGCATCTCTGGTTCCTGGCAACAGATAGATGTGCTGTTGTACCTGATGATGCTGCTGTACCTCTGCCTTTATTTTGAGGGCCCTTGGTGGTCTTGAAGGGACTTTGTTTTCTTCTCATAAACTAGTTTCTGGCTTGTTGAGGGAGCTAGTGTGAGGGGAATCCTTCAGCGTGGCAGTAGGCTGAGAATTCTAGCATAACTTGAGCTTTAAATTAGCAGAAACTGAAAAGCACAAGATTGTAAAATCACCTTTCCTAATTTGGGTGGACAGAGAGGAAGAGGAATGGCAGTAAAAACCTTAGACAGGGCTTTTGGCAAGGATTATAATTCTGCAGGTTGGGATTAGTTTGAATACAGTTTATTCCAATTCTTGTTTGGCTTCGCTGTTTTCTGTAGTGTCAAGTCTTGTTACATACGTTAAGCTTTTAACTTGCAATTTGTTGTTACAGAAAGCCTAAAACTAAGAGAGCAAAAAGATTTCTTGAGAAGAGAGAACCCAAACTAAATGAAAATACAAAGAATGCTATGCTCATAAAAGGAGGAAATGCAAATTTAACAGTGGCCGAAGTGCTTAAAGATATTGTAAGTTGTTGGACACAGCATGCAACCTTCCTCTCTCTTTCTTACAATTTGCTGTCTCTGCTGCACTATCAGTATTTTCATATTGTACCCCAAATCTCAGAATGACCAGTACTACAAAGGTACCATTACCTGCTTCTTAATGGAGATTGTTTTCTTCCAACTTCTTCTTTGCCAGAAATTTTGAGCTTGCTCCCTTATTTTTTCACAGTTGTTTAGTATATAAGATGAAGTGTTGCCAAGTCTTTTTGGCAACAAGAAGATTAAGAGGATTAGATGCAGAACTGGGACTGTATCATACAGCTAAGTCATATCCCAGAATCCTGTAAGCTGACTGTGTGTATTGATAGGGAGCTTTCAGCCTCTCCTAAAACTAAGTTACCAATCTTGTCTCCTAACTCCATAGCTCAAAATATCTGTTCCTACACTCATTTTTCTCTTCATTTTGTTGTTTTGCTATTCTTTTATGTTTCTTATAATCAAGTTGTTGTTCTCTCCCTGTTTTTCCTTATGCCCCTTAGAAGAAGAGAGATTACATTCATTACATGGCTTTGATTTCAGCTGTTTCTAAGTTAATTTTTTATTTCTCAGTTTCTACAAATAATTTCTTGTGCAATTAATTTGGAAACAGGATTGTCACCAGCTTGAAGGGTATTACTGTGAGCAGGCCTTTTGAGGTACCTTGATCTAGCCTGCTCTGTTACTATTTCACATGATCCTGTAAACTGTTGGGTTGTAAAAATGACAGTGCTGTGCATGTTTTAGAGATGACAGGTGTTAAACTTTCTGTTTTGCAGTATGCTGTGAAGAAGCCGTTTGCTGTACTGTATAAAAGGTAAGTAGTGGTAGTAGTGGTGGTGGTATTGGGCCCCAGCAGACAGGAAATGTGGAGGAAAGTATTTGGAATGGCAAAGATAGCATTAAGGCATTCCTGGCAGTAGTAATAGGATTTGTGATTTGAACTCAAACTGAGCCTTTACTGCTGGAGTTTCTGGTAGAATGCAAAACATTTTATGATCAGAGAATTAAGAAGAAATGGCTCTCTGGTCTTGTTCTTTTTGTTTTTTCTTATAACTTGTTTTTTTCTCCTTCTCTCAGGAAAAATATTACCAGGCCTTTTGAGGACCAAACATCATTGGTAAGTATAAATAATGTTTTCTCTTACAACAGTTTTGAGCAGGCTATCCTTGTGTGCCAAAAGATGAACCATCAGGAAAGAAGAATAGCCTGTCTGAACAGAGCTTTGGCTGGACCTTAGGGGTAAAAAGAGAGTATATCAGTTTTGGAAGAGGCTTGCCACTCAGGAGGACCACAAAGATGTTGTGAGGGTATGCGGGGAGAAAATTAGAAGGGCCCAAGCCTTAGAACTTAATCTGGTTATTGCCATAAAAGACAATAAAAAATGTTTTTGCAATTACATCACCAACCCAGCCCAAAGCGAGGGCTAAAGAGAATCTCCATCCTTTACTGAATGTAGAGGGAAACAAAGGGAGAAAGGATGAGGAAAATGCTGA